CCCCCACCCAATAAAAATCAAGCCGGCCTTTGCATGGCTACCCCGTCCCCGCTCCACACCTCCCCTCTCCTTTGCCCTCTCACTACAAAAATGCCCCGTGTCTTCCTTCCCAGGTCGGTCAGTACGCCTGCGATATGGGAGGTCGGCCTGGTGCAAAGGCTGTACGCTTGGGGCAGCAGCCCCGGCAGCCGGCGAGGCGCGCGGGAGGACCGGAGGCCAGGCTGACTTGGTGCTGAGGGCACAAGGCACCTTCTCTTTGCCACGTTTATACCAGCGGAAGAAGGGGCAGAACCGTGACGGGCACATAGTGGAGAAATCCTAATCCTGATCCTTCTGCTCCTTCTGTGTGGTGGAAATCCCAAAGCCAGTGGTTAACACTGACAGCAAACTGTCTGGACTGCAGGTCTGGCTTGGGTTGAGTCCCATCTACCTGCCTGGGTGCAGTCTGGTCCCACACAACCCCCTCAACGTGCCAGAATACTCCTTCTTGAGTCCCTGACTGACCCGGGCCATCTCCAGGCTCGCTGGCTTTGCAGTCAACACCACACACTCATTTCCAGTTCTCAGGTCCCTTACCCAGGTCTGGTCACCAGGTGTCGTCAAACCAACTGTCACTTACTCAGTAGCCAGTTCTGAGGGCCAAGGAACGAAGGCTGTTCACTGGCAACTCGGCAGGTCTCGTCAATGCCCCATTTGGCAGCGGCGGCTCTCCCGACTCTCCCCATCTCGTATCACTGAACCCTACTCCTAGATAGACACTGCTCGGCCTGCACTTAGACTTGCTTATCTGCCAGTGTATTTACATCATGCTGCATAGGCATGCGATGACTTCTCTAGGTCTGTGGCGTTAACTGCTCTACTGTAGATGTGAAGTGAGTAATTTGCATGCAGACTGATGTGCAGAAATGTGAAGCATTGTCTCCGTTCCCTACAAGCAGATCGGAGCTCATTCCAATAGCGCAAGTCCTTGGTAAGGACTTGGCTATGTCATTGCTTGAAGGAGCTGCAGCTCCTATCTCGCAGCAGGGCACTAAGACTTTCTTAACTTTAATTCCAGAAAAAACATTTACTGTACATATAAATATTTACTGCAAAGAACGGATGAGATGTGTCTGCTCTTTAGAGACCTCTAGAATCATTAGGGCAGCTTTTGTACACCTCAGTAGAGAGTGGCACACTCTTCCACTGCAGTTAGATTGAATTCCCTGTCTCTCAGAGATCGTGACTTTTTGTCTCGTATTTCAGGCCATCAAGGGTTGCTCTTAAAAAAAAATTAAATGTTTAGGATGCAGCTTTGCCATATTCCCTTTGACTCATGCAATATAAACACTTTTTTTTTTTTTTTTAGGATAACAGGTAAACAGGAACTGAAGCACTCCCTACCAACTTCTTAGCAAGAAATCCATAAATAACTCAGGGTGAATTTTACTAATGGAAAGTTAAACAGTAAAATCTTGAACATGGGCTCTAACCTAGGAACTTACTTTCTCCTTCCAAAAATGATCAAAGGTCTACAATTTAAAAAAAAAAATCCATGTTAAAATTATTTACACTGGGCGAAGCCAAGCACAAGCCTTGTGCCTTTCTCAGACTATCTGGGAGCAAATCGAATCCAAAGACATGGTTAAAAGACCTTAAACCCTTGCATATTCTATTATCCGCAGGACTGTATAAAATATTAGCTAGTATTAACAGGGCACTTGTTTTTGTTAGATTTTGTTTCCAGATTGATTTTCATCATGAGATCTAACAGTAGCGAGACCCTACTCCTAGCTCTGATGATGATATACATTCGTAGTTTTTCCTACTTTAGCATCGCAAGATTCACATTCGTCCTCCATCCTAGGCTGTGATTTGGGGGAGTGCTGGAGCAGTCTGCCCTGTAGATCTAAGCTGCAGATGGTCTCCTGTCAACTCTACTTCTTCTCCTTTTTCCCCGACTTCTTCTTGTTCCCACCAGAAGAGCCTGCGTTCTTGCTGTCACGTTTACCTGAGGAGCTGGAGAGGGTGGCGGTGCTGCCCGGGATGTACACGTTCTGCCGGTAGTCGGGGACGTGCTGCAGGGTGAACTGGGGGCCGTACCTGGCGCTCAGGCCCATGGTGCCCGTTCCTCCGCCCAGAGTCGAGTTCCCATCAGCAGCTTCTGCGGGTGCCGCAGGAGAGAAGCAAACAAAACAGGGGGTCGTTAACGTCAGCGAGAGCCTGAGAACATCGCAAAGCCCATCCCAAGCCCGAACCCGCCGCGCGGAGGGTCCCAGTGAGCCAGGGACGCTCCGAACGGCTCTCTCAGGCAGAGGGCGTTTAATCCAGACCTCCTCAGCGCCACCAACCTCCATCACAAACTCTCTTTAGCCTTCGTCACTAACGCTCCCCCCCCACTGTAAGAGGATGAGGGCCAGATAAGCAGGTAGGGACAGGCCGACGAGTCTAACAGAAAGGGAGATGCTCAGCGTGGGAGCTGCCAGGAAGCACAACTTGGGAGTCTTTTGCTGGAGAAAGGCGTGCTGCAGGAGGGGTAATGTTCTGCCCCCCGCATCGGAGAGCCTGTGAGAGGTGGGATGGCCGGTACAGGGCTGAGAAGCTGCAGGGCGGACGGTCGGGCACCACCGCCGCCCCAGCAGCCCATTGTGCAGGGGCGCAGGGGAATGGGAGAAGTCCATGAGCAGTTTCAGTCCTGCTTCCTCCTCTCCTTCCTCCCAGCAGAAAGGCCAGGCAGGGCGGCTGCCACAACTGAATCAACCGGCAGGGCACATGGCCCGTGTGTGCCGAGTCTAAGAAAGGGTCTCTTCGAGACGCGTTGGTTTCGTAGGGTCGCTGCCATGTCTGTGCTCAGGAGCACAGTCCAATCTGCAGCAAAAATCCCTTATTTCCTACTGCAGCAGACCACCCCCTCTCCCTCTCCGGACAGCAAGCAGCTCATTACAAATATATTGTACTGTTATAATGATTAAGGGAAATCCATTATTGGGCCCTGCAGCTCTTTCCCCTGCATTTAAAACCCTGGCAATAGTATTTCTAAATACAGGTTTATTTACGGAGCAGAACACATGGCATGACAAAGAAAAATCCCTGTCATGCAGTACCACAAAATGGCTCTAGGAAGCTGAGCATAAAGCGATCAATGCTGAAGTGTGCACGATAGTCCAGATCTGGGAGCAGGCCACACAGGGGGAGGGGAAGGCAAATTCATTCCTGTCATGCTGCACAAGCCCAGCACAGAGAAAGCAACCACGGAGGCAGGGGAGGATGCAGAACCCGCCTGTGATGCTGTCATACTGATGTAAGTTAGGGACGAGGCTGCAAAATGGAAATAGGGGAGATGCACAGAGGTGGGGGAGAAATTAGCACAGGGAGAAGTCAGGGAATGAGCAACACTGCTTCTAAGAGCAGCTGCACAATCCACTCCAACACGACTATCTGTGCACAGCCCAGGATTTGATTCCTACACAGTCCTGCCCAGAAATGACTTGCTCAAATCCTGCCTTTGCATTTGATACTACGGCATCTGATCTGGAAAGCTCCTGCAGCCTTTCTCATGAACAGGACTTTTAACTGCTCCATGTAAATGACTGGGGACATGAGGCTGGGAGAAGCCCCGCAAGTTCTCCCCAGACTTCCAGACGTGGTACCTGCAACGACAGGGCACGCTCACACCAAAGCAAGAGGGCTTTAGGTTGTATTAGCCTAACATGAGGTTTGGCTGAGTTTTCACAGTGAAAGGATGATGAAGTGCCAGAGGGGCCCAGAGCAGAGTCCAGAACTGCTGCTCCCTCCTTTTGCATTCAGAAAGACTGCAAGAATAAAGAAAAGCAACAAGCATAAACTGCGGTCTGGCCACGTCTTGTTTCCCCTCTCACTAGCTCAGTACACGCCTCCTTTTTGCCTTTGCTTTTGCCTGAGCAGACGGAGGTGATATGGAGGTGGCTAATCCAGCCCGAAGGCTGGGACAAACAGAAAGGAATCCAAACAGAAAGCTGGGACACAACTTACTAGTCCCTTGAAACATTTCAGTGTATATATCCCCTTAAAGACACTGGAAATACTAAGCAACTGCATTTTGAAAAGTTTCAGCTGCTGTATTACAGTAGACAGAGGAAAACACACAGACAGTCTTAAAACAGGCATAATATTATGCATTAAGGACTAGGGACGCTCATGAGGGTATACAAATGCAGCAAAATATACTGCAGGGAAACGTCTTTTTGCTTTCTGGTATGAAAGCACCAGAATTCACAGGCAGGAGACTTTTTCTGTGGTCCTTTTTGAAAGATTCAGAGAACTGGCATGGCTTTTAGGAGCTTCTTCTGGAGAAGGCATGGGAAATCAGGTGGCAAGGATGTGTGTACGCGTTTAATTATATTTGTCAGTAATCCTCTGTGGTAACTCTTTATTCCAGGCTTTCACTGTTCACCCCCTGGGTTGTGTTTAACGACCTTCTTCTTTCTTCCTGTTTTAAAAGGTACTTGGAGATTTGTAACTGTTCACCTCATCAACAGCTAATTTCGTTAACGACCAATTCAATTACGCACCCCTCAGGGTGTTATGGACCAGGATGTGATCCCTGGAGTTGTGCTGTCGGGCCACGCTGCAGTCAGAGACCAACTTGCAGGCAGATTATTGCCTCTGGCAGTGAGGGAAAATTTTCTCTGGGCTCAGCCGCTGCTGGATTTCAGCTGGAGACGGCCTGGTTGGGGGCTTTGTGGGTTTGGGCTCTCTCCTGCATGCCACTGCCCCACCGACCCACTTCCCTCCAGGTCATCCTGGCTGCTCAGAGGCTTTATGCAGCAAGGGGCCTGGGGGCTCTCAGTGGCATCCAGGACAGCTTTCCCCTATGAAATAACTTGCAGAGGCAGCACAGTTTCCAAGAGGTTAAAAAAAAAAAAAACCTATCAAGTTCCCAGTCTGCCAGGTGGTCCAGTCCAAGATTTAACAGTGAGCAGAAAGCTGTTTCTAGGTAACATTGACATTAAGGCTGAAAAGAAGCGAGAACAGGGACAATAGAGATTTAGAAATCGGCACTGAGCTGCTTTTGCCAAGCAGGGCACTACAGCTCTTCTTGCTGGAAAGGTTACGCTCAGCCTTTATCAACAGCCAGCCATTATCCTAAATAGGCCTGAAGCTCCTGCAGCCAAATGGTGAAAAGGAAAACAAGAATTTGTACTTAGGCAAAATTAACCGAGTGTCTCCATTTCCCTCATAAATTGAGCTCGCCTCTGGAGGGGACAATGAGATTTAGGGAGTCCTAAATCTCTGGAGCACTTGCTGGTGCAGCTGCTGGTGGGGCTTTCACGGGAACCGGATATAGAGGGTCTGCCTCAGCCTGCAGGCTGAAATGCTAGGAAGGACCTTCTCAGGCTGCCTTTCTGTCTACAGGAGGAGGAGTGTGCTATGTTCCCGGCTGTCTCATGGCGCCCATATAAATACATTTGTGCTAAGAGACAAAGTATTTTAAGGGAGATTCCCTAGGATTGGATGCCTCTTAAGCCCAGCCTTTAGTATCTGGTTTCCTAGGGTGTCTGTACCCCTTGGTCTGTCTTAGCAGCTGCCTCTGCCCTTTCAGATTGCTAAAGCACTGGCTTTTCAAACAGTTGGCAGCTCCCAGGCCTTTGAAAGTGGGAGTGTAAATGGCAGCCTCTCAGATGGACCGCAAGGCTCAATGCACAGGGATGTGGCACAGGCCCTCATGGCAACCCCCTCTCCTCTCTTAACCCCCCCACCCCACCCCGAAGCCCTGGGTGCTTAGCGTGGGAATGTGTTTCTGAAAAGATTCTTCAAACAGCACTTTCTCTATCCTTGCTGTTGGATCATCTGGTTTACAGCTTTGCCCTCTGTAAGAGTGCATGTAGGTAGCAGAGAAGGCGGAAGGCCCTTTGCTCAAAATGTTGGACTGGAGATACTGGCAGGGAGAAAGTATGCACCAAGCTGGGAAGTTAGCAGGGAACGAGGCCTCCAAGCTGGGAGGATCCAGGCGGACCCTGGGAATAGAAGCAGAAGCCCTACAACAGGGTTGCAGCCCTGTGGGGTCAACTAGCTCCTAATCTAGCTTGCCCCAGTAGTCTGACCTGGGGGAACCCACAGGCCTTGGTCCAGGCCCCACAGCTGCTCTCTGGCTTAGACCCAAGTTAACTGCTCTCCGTCTTGGAAGGGGATGAAGGAGTAGTGGCAACTGCTTTACTCCTCAGAGAGACTGGATCGACCAGGCCTGGCATGGCCAAACAAGCTCATTGCTCTGTCTCCTGTTGCAATGAGGGGTAAACGGTGGCACAGGGTCAAGGATGCAGATGGGACAGCACCATCCCTGATGCAAACAGGACAGCACTATCCCCTTCCAGGAGCTCACAAAGCAAAGCAGCACCATGGGAGCTTCTGCCTCCCAGCCAGTCTCTGCTCAGCACAGACTGAGCGTGGGCTTTACAATGAGCACCAGCTGGGTGGCTGAAGTTGGTAATATGCCTGCTCTGTGCAGAGAGGCGCTCATGCTGAGAAGACCTGCGAAAGCGAAAGCGAATGCACCCAGTGCCTTCACCTGTGTAATGGGAAGATACTGCTATTTGCATCTCCAAAGCTCAAACAGAGCTCAGTAGACAACAATAGGAGGCAATGGTCATTTAAATAGCCAGTAAACATTACCTAAGGATGGATAAGTACAAAGCTGAACAGCTAATTAGAGCTACAACACCTGCCCCTGATCAAAGCCTGCCCTATCAGCACTATTAGCCTAATGAATGAGCGCAGCATGCGGGGGAACTGAGTGGGGGGAAGACTGATGAAAACACAGTTACTGTGCAAAAAGTATTTGGGGCTCCTTGCTGCACTGGAGATGGACTCCTGTGCTGTGTCCCCACTCTGGCCCCATCCATCTCCCCTCAGCCAAGTACCAAAGTGGGCAGGAAAAGGAGTAACTGCACTGAGCCATCCTCTCTCTGAGACTTCACCAGAGAGAAAGCAAGTTGCTCTTATCTAGTGGAGGGAGCTAATTTAATTCAGCCCCCTGGGCAGACAGAACCGTGGGAGAGGTTAGGATTGTTTGAGACTTGTGGATTGGGGGAGATTTGCCAGAATAGGGCCCAGGGCAAAGCGGAAGTCAGCACCTAACCTTGAAGGAACCAGCTCAGCTTTCAGATCCTGGTGAACTGCTGGAATGGCAGTCAGCAAAACAGTTTTATTTGTGAGCAAGGAAACTGGATCTGGAGGCACTGGGTGATGATAACCATATGGGCCCCTTGAGGCTGTTTTTCCATGGTCATTTTTCAGAACAGAGACACACTTTCACGATGCTTCTTTCCCTTGAGTGTAAACAACTCTAATACCCGAGACCTTCATTCCTTAACCCAGCCACAGCAACTGTCCCTGGGCAGCCTGGTGTCTGCAGAGAAGCAAAGTTCAGCTGAAGCAGCTTTCCAAGAAAGCAACATATGAATCCCTCCTCCCCCAGATTCCTTCTCTCCCAAGAGCTCAAAGGAAACATCCTAAGCATTTTACACAGGGTTTTACGGCTGCGCTGCTGTTTCTATTTTTAAATCAAGGGGAAAAGACTTGGAGGCATTTATAAATAAAGGCTTTATGAAAACCAGCCTTTTTATCCTGAGCGCTGCATAGAGTGATAATTGCACTTCTTTTTTATAAAGCCATGGAGATTGCAGACTCACAGAAACACCACCGAAGTCCACCACTTTCACACAACACAGCCATTAACCAGAACAAACCAACCAAGCATCGAAACGATCCCAAACCAAATCCCAACAACTGCAAATACAAAGAACCAGCAGCAGCATGTAGGGCAGAGTCTCGCTCAGTCCTCAGCCCAGTGGAGCCCACCTCACAGTGACCTGCAGCCCAATGCTAGCAGTGAGCAGCCAGAACAGCCCCCAGATGCAGGGACACCCACTGGTGGGGACCATCTCCCTCCCCATGTCTCCCAACACAAGGCCTGTTGGTGGTCTCTTTCTTAAGATGTGCAGAGCTATTCTGAGAACATCTCTTCTGCTCCTGACACAGGATATTCCCTTCTCATCATGAGAAGAAAAGGGACCTGTTACTCTGTAACAGCCGCCGTCTCAAACTTTTGTCTGAGTTCTGGCCACTCTAGGACCCTAGACTAAGTGGATCTGCTGACTCAGGCCAGCATTTACTGCATTTCTGATATGACTTATCCAGGCCCTGTCTCTAGCCACAGGCAAATCTTCCAAGCTTTTTACCTCCTCCCCTTATGCCAGCTTCCACCATAAAAGATGTTTCACTTACTGTGACCTTCTGGAATCACATAGCTTGCAATACATCTCTAGACCAGCTTCTTCATTCAACACAACCTCGTCATGAGCCAGATAACATTCTGTCTAGTACACAGATAATACAGTTTGGGTGGAAAAGATACCTCTGTCTACAGCATGCCTGATGCTGATGACTATCTTGCATCTCCTCTGCCTGAGTCCTTTCTGAACCCCTCTCTTCTGCAGGGTAACACAGATAGCAGTGCTTTTCAGATACTGTCTCTTTAAGTACTTCAGAAGCTGTCCAGCCCCTCCAGTTAACCCAAACACATCAATAACACAAGCATCTTATCCAATGGCAATGCCCCTGAGATGTCTGTATAATGCAAATGATATAACTGCAAATGATGCAGTTTTCCCATATGTAATGGAGACTGACCGTTTGCTGAAGCCAGGATCATGGCTTGAAGCATTTCCGTGTCGAACTGGTTGTTCGGCCAAGCTCCACCTTCCTCTCCATTCTGAGAGCTAAGGAAAAAGAAAAGAAACAGCAAGTTACTATGGCTCAGTAAAAAGGAGTGGGATTGCTAGAAAACATGAAAAAGCAACACTGTGGACTTGCCGTGCAGTTACACAACCTGAGAGCAGTCCTGCCACACAACCTGGGGCTCATCTGCTGGGCTGGGCAGTGCTGGTGGAGAGGCTATGGACGTTAAACCACTCTGCTAAGGAACACCCTAGAGACAAAACATTTTCTGAGGTCTCCATCCTTTTCCAGGCTTTTGAAGAATAATCACCAACAAAAATGAAGTAGCTGGGAACTCAGTGGCACTTCCAGATATGCCTACCTAACTCCCGCTGATTTCAGAGAGAGTCAGGCACCTAAACAGCAGGTGCCTTCCCAACATCACTTAAATACCACAGAAATGCTAGTCCTAAAGCCCCAGAGAAGCACGCATGCTTTTACGGTCAGGCCCTCTCTTCCCTTTGAAGACCACGTGAGGTGGAGGTCCTTTCGGATTATTTCAGGCTAAAACTCCACTCTACAGCTTCATTCATGAGAATGAAAGAGAGAAATTTTATGGACCATGGGATTTGGCATCAGCAGGGAGCCAGCTGCCTAACGCTGAAGGGAGTGCAAGAGCAGCCACCAGCTCTGCAGAACGTGGAGCGAGCAGTTCTGGAGAGGCTGGAGCAGTGGGGAGGAGAGAGAAGGGAGGTGAGAGACCAGCTTGGTTCCTTGGAGAAGGCTGGTGGGTGGATTGTTAGCACAACAGTCCAACAGATCAGCTTGGAAAATTTCTGGGGATGCTACCAGGCTTCAGTCATGGAGGAGTTTTTGTCGACCAAGGACACAATCAGTGTAGTCTGTGCACAGTCTAAGCCCTGTGTTCATGTTTGCCAGATCCCTGGCAACTGTGTCCATCCACTATTCACTAGTGGTCAGACTTTCCCTTTGGAGATGGTCAAGGATGTGTTCTCAGAGACCCACCTATCCTTTCTACTCCAGTCCTCTCCCTGCTCCCACTGTTGTTGTCATAGTGGGGCAGCAGGAGAAGCCCTGCCCACTACAAAGGCTTCATTAACCTGGGCTCTGCCCAGATGTGTACAAGTAAAGGTGTGTATGGAGGCAATGGCTGATCAGGTGGCTCAGCAGAAAACTCAAAATCTCACCAGCTTTCAGGGTGACATGGGCCTCCTCTGCTCTGATCCTGCAGCAGCATGTGAGTGACCACGTAACACGTGACCTGTCTTGGGAGCTGGATTGGGACCACAGGTCTTCCCTCTCCCAGACAAGTGCTCTGACCACTACACAACTCTTGCCAGGTTTTGAGAAGCAAAGCTCTGCATCCTCAGCTGTGCATTAGCTCACTTCAACAGGTGTGGTGAGGGCTGCCCCCACTTTTGTGGCCAGGAGCTCTCAAAATGTGAGAAGCGGGAGTTTAAAGTCATTCATGTTGGAAAAAGCTGAGCCTGTTTCCTAGGCAAGCATTCAAACCACCAGGCTGCAGGCCAAGAAGGTGGCCGCCTCCACCAATGCTGTGCCTTGGAGGGGAAGCTGTGGTCAAAGCACTCGCATCCAAGAGGAGGCGTCTGACCCTGAAGCCCCGTTCAAGCAGCGGAGATCTCCCTGGCTCCGGGATCTCCTGTTAGATGCTCCGTGTCCAAGTGCTCAGCAAGTGCCTCAGCCACCCCATACGGCGCTGCTGGTGCTAGTGCCTGTTCGGCATCGCATGCTGTGCAGCGGAGGGGCCTCTCACCACTGTGCTGAGCATCAGGCTGCCTGAGCCCTCCTCCCAGATGCAGCTGCTCCAACTGTAAGACACAGCATAGGTCAAGTATGCCCATTTTGAAAACAGGACACTGAGATACAGACAGACCCACATGCAGCTCCCTGAAGGCTGTGTCTAGCAGGGTGATCTTGTAGCACATCCAGCTCCTATGTCTAGGCCACTGCTCCAGCTGTGTCAAAGCTCTGTAATGAGGTAAGTCCTGAATGCACAACAGCTTTCCCCTTCCTCCCTGTACAAATGTCCTGTACACACAAGAAGAAAAAGCCCAGATGCACGTGCCAGGTAAGAGTCCCAGTGAGCTCTGATCAGGATCCCAAATGGTCCTGCTTGGTCATAGAGCTCAGGACAGACCCAGTGAAAGGTATGTATGTTCACAACTCCCTTTGAAACGCATGGGGTCTTGGGCTTAAGGGAGATAGAGACTTGGATACTTCTGGGTACTTCAGTGAGGGATGGAAATGCTTTTGAAAATCCGGTCTTAAGCAACTTGCCCAAAGATATGCAGGACCTGTGCCAGGACCACATGACCATCCTTCCCTTCCCCCTTCTGCATTGCCTTTCTGATATACCCCTGGCCAAAGCCATACTGCTGTTCTCACACTACTGTTTTATCTGTTGAGGACACAAATAATTACTTATTTAGCAGAGGATGGATGTCCGGACAGGACACTGCCAACAATACCATTTCTGAAATATCTGCCATCTACTGCAACCTGGGGCATCCAAAAATTATTTATATCGATCATCTACTACATGGTATGCTGGCACAGTTTCAAGAAGGCCAGGAGTGAGTTTTGCCTGCCTCTCAAAATGATTTCAGTGTTTGCTTGTATGCTAGTTTCAGTGCGACTCCTCAGATGAGATCAAAACTCCATTGTACTCGGTGTTACGCCAACGAGTACTATGTAGCAATCTTCGCCTCTGAGAACAGACAGTCCAAGCAGTCAGAACAAGGGGCAGGCAGCTTCAGGGATGGAGTGACCTACTCAATGTCACAGACAAGGCTGGGAATAGAGCCGCGGGCTAGATCCAATAAAGGGCTTACGCACCTAAACCCCAGTCCAAACCACAACCCATTCTGCCACCACTTAACCCCAGCAGTTCTTCCCTCACCAGCTGGCTCCCTGGCTGACAACTGAGTTTCCCAGGTCTTTCGGTGCTGCAAGAAACCTGTCCAGAAATGCCCAGTTTGGGTGGCTCCACATCTGCTTCTCAGCAAGGAACTCAGTCTGGTGCTGGTTCTCGGCGCCCCCTAGCATAGTGATGGGATCCAGGGCGGGAAGACACAAGAAAGGCCAAAGTTAATTTGGGGAGGAGGGAGTTAGTTGTAATAGCCCAGTGGTTTGAACTCTTTGTTTCTAGCCAGAGACCTACGTTCAACTCCTTCTCTGGTATGAAAGTACAGGCACTGTTTGAGTCATCTCATTTTCTGCTTCCCAGAAGACTCTTTTTCATTTCCTTTCACCCTCTTTCACGCTACAGGCTACCCTGGAGAGGAGCCCCTTCTACCTCCTGTTAAAGCTGTGCGTTCTGCGCAGTAGGACAGAGGGAATGAATGGAAGGAAAGGATCACTCTGTGACCAGGGCGTTCATCCCAGAGGCAGCATCAGGGCCCTCAAACTCACAGAGATCCCTAACCACTACTTTCCAAAGTAAACACCTCCATCACCTTCCCAATGAGCCTTGACCTCTTGGCTGTACACAGGCACAGATGAAGAGCCACCATCCTACAGCAACCACCAAGGCTTGGCCTTTCCTGGCATTGGGGTAGAAGGATATTCTGCTGGGGAGGGAGGAGTGTGAAGAAGGGACACGGCTGTCAGTCCCTGCAGACTGGGAGGGTGTTGAGGCTCTGTGTCTTTAGTGAGACATAGTTCAACCACTGTAGTGCAAGACACAAGACAAGCAGTAGTACCATTATACTAAAAAGGGAATGTGTGGGTCTTGTTCAGGTTGTTTTAACCTGTGCCTGCCCCCAGGGAAGGACAGCTGTGCCTCATGAATGCACAGAGGGAGGTTCACCCCTGAGCCTGGTAGCAAGCTGGGGAGAGGGGCAGGATTTCACACCCTTTTCCTAGCTTCTGCTCTTGGATAAGGAGTGAACGAACATATGGTCCTGGGTTCCCCTCAAGGCATCAGGTACATGAATGCGGCGTGCTTCACCCGATCCTGTGTTATGGCTATGTCCGCAGTGACTAGGAGACAGCCAAAGTCCTACAACTCCTTAATGCCCTATAGCATAACAGAATCACAGACTAATTCAGATGGAAAGGGACCTGAAGCACCCTATCTGATGCAGGTGGGAAGGTATCTGGTCCAGCCCGCCTCCCCCCCAACAAATACACTTAAAGCAGGGCCAATCTTTCAGTTAGATCCAACTTTATATCAGATGCTCAAGGCCTCGAGCGGTTTAATTTGGGGTATTTCCAAGCCAGAGATTTCTCTGGCCTCTCAGGACCCCTGTTTCACTGTTGGACTACCCTCAGGGTGAAAAATGTTCCCCAGTATCTATCAGAATTTGTCTTGTTGCAACTCATGCCCACTGCCCCTCGTCCTTTCACTGTGTACCTCTGCACAGCGTCTGTCTTTGCCTTGTCTGTACTCTTCCCTTAGGCAGCAGAAGACAGCAATTAGATTCTTCTCTTAGCTCTCACTTCTCTAAGCTGAAGAAACCAAGCTGTCTCAGCCCCTCCTCATCAGTCACATGCTCTAGACCTTTGATCATTTTGGTGGCTCCAGTATATCCATGCCCTTGTTGTACTAGGGAGCCCAAAGCTGGACAGAGTGCTCCAGATGTGATCCCACAAGTGCTGCATAGAGGGAAACTGTCACTTCTCTTGACTTGCCGGCTACCCTTTTGTCAATACAACCCAGTGTACAGTTGGTCTTCAGCACAACAAGGGTGCACTGCTGGCTAACGTTCAACTTGTTGTCCACCAGGACCCCCAGGCCATTTTCTGCAAGCCTACTGCACCCAGTATTCCCAAGCAGTCTCCCATTCAAGTACTAATTGAGCCTGACTGTACTGAGCTTCAGAGATCAGACAATAGCTGTGTGCCCAGGCTGGTGTGGCTTGATGGCAGTCACCCCATACAGAAGAGGTCACTCTCAAAGTTCAGCTCAGCCCTGCTGCCGTGTTGGCTTGTGCCTATGCACCACAAAGGCGAGTGGACTTGGACTCTGGTGCAGGCTTGTGCTCGCGCTCAGTATACAACACAGACACGCTCCGCATCT